TTTCTCTCCCACCTTCCTTCCTTTCTTTTTCTCTCTTTCCTTCCTTCTCTCCCACCTTTCTTTCCCTCTTCTTTCCTTCCTTCTTTCTCCCACACCGCACTCCTTCCTTCTTCCTTTCTCTCCCACACTTCTTTCTTTTTCTTTCTTTCTTCTTTTCTTCCTCCTCTCCTACATTCCTTCCTTCTTTCTCTCCTACCTTCCTTTCTTTTTCTCTTTTTCTCTCTTTCCTTCCTTCTCTTTCACCTTCCTTCCTTCCTTCTTTCCTTTCCTTTCCTTTCCTCTCCTCTCCTCTCCTCTCCTTTCCTCTCCTTTCCTTTCCTTTCCTTTCCTTTCCTTCCTCTCCTCCCCTCTCCTCTCCTTTCCTTTCCTTTCCTTTCCTTCCTCTCCTCTCCTCTCCTCTCCTTTCCTTCCTCTCCTCTCCTCTCCTCTCCTCTCCTCTCCTCTCCTCTCCTCTCCTCTCCTCTCCTCTCCTTTCCTTTCCTTTCTTTTCTTCCTTTCCTTTCCTTTCCTTTCCTTCCTCTCCTCTCCTCTCCTCTCCTTTCCTTTCCTTTCTTTTCTTTTCTTCCTTTCCTTTGCTTTCCTTTCCTTTCCTTCCTCTCCTCCCCTCTCCTCTCCTCTCCTCTCCTCTCCTTTCCTTTCCTTCCTCTCCTCTCCTCTCCTCTCCTCTCCTTTCCTTCCTCTCCTCCCCTCCCCTCCCCTCTCCTCTCCTCTCTTCTCCTTTCCTTTCCTTTCCTTTCCTTTCCTTTCCTTTCCTTTCCTTTCCTTTCCTTTCCTTTCCTTTCCTTTCCTTCCTCTCCTCTCCTCTCCTCTCCTCTCCTTTCCCTCCTCCCCTCTCCTCTCCTCTCCTTTCCTTTCCTTTCCTTTCCTTTCCTCTCCTCTCCTCTCCTCTCCTCTCCTCCTCTCCTCTCCTCTCCTCTCCTCTCCTTTCCTTTCCTTTCTTTTCTTTTCTTCCTTTCCTTTCCTTTCCTTTCCTTTCCTTTCCTTTCCTTTCCTTTCCTTTCCTTTCTTCCTTTCCTTTCCTTTCCTTTCCCTTAAGAACCGCGGCAGGCAAAGTCGTAAATCGAGGCAAAACTCACTTGACTTGTCTAACCGTCGGGCTTCATAATTTCTAAGTTGTTTCTAAGTCAAGGAGCGCCTGCATTTTTAGTCACAAGGGGGCGCTGTGGCTAATCGGAATGAGGCTCACTGGCTGACTGGTGGGAAAAAGACTTGTAAAACTGGACTAAAAATGTTAGATTCAAGGTGACTTTGTCCCACTTCTTCCCCCTCCAGGTATCTTCATCGCTCTTCTCTTGCGCTTTGATATCAGGTAAATCCTTTGCTACAACTTGCCAATTGAAGAATCCCCCCCCCCCCTTTTCCCGCATTATATGGATAAAGACCAGAAAAAAGTTGGGTTGAGAGCAACAAAGAGGATTAGGGGACTGGAGGCTCAAACATATGATGAACGGTTGCAGGAACTGGGCCTGGCTAGTCTAGGGAAGAGAAGGACCAGGGGAGACAGGAGAGCAGCCTTCCAATACTTGAGGGGCTGCCCCAGAGAGGAGGAAGGGGGTCAAGCTATTTTCAAAAGCACCTGTAGGCCAGAGAAGATAAAATGGATGGAAACTGAACAAGGAAAGAAGCAACCTAGAACTAAGGAGATATTTCCCGGAACAATTAACCAGTGGAACTGCTTGCCACCAGAAGTTGTGGGTGCTTCATCCCTGGAGGTTTTTAAGAAGAGATTGAACAACCATTTGTGTGAAATGGGTATAGGATCTCCTACTTGGACAAAGGGATTAGACTAGATGACCTCCAAGGTGCCTTCTAACCTTTAATTCTGTTAATTAATCAAAGTGGGATGGCTTACCTTCCAGAAGTTTTGGGGTGCTCCCATCACGGGGGCATTGAAGAAGATTGAAGAAGCATTTGTTTGAAATGGGTATAAGGCAGTGGTGGCTAACCTTTTGGGGCTCCTGTGCCCAAAATGCGCACGCTTGCATGCTTGCGCTCGCGTGCCAGCACCCAGAAGGCAATGCTCCCCCCCCACGCCCCTACGCATGCACACGCAATCCCCACCCACCCACCCCCGCTGCCCCCTTACCTGCATTGCGCCTCACAGCTGATTTTTGGCAAGAGGTCATCTAGTCCAGCCCCCTGTCCAAGCAGGAGATCCTATACCCGTGATGGCGAACCTATGGCATTTGTGCCACAAGTGGCACGCAGAGCCATTTGTGACGGCACGCGAGCGGCAGGCAAACTTACCTCACTGCGCATGTGCGCGCCCCAGAGCTAATATTTGGCCAGTTTGAGGCCATTTTCACCCTCCCGGAGGCTTCAGGAAGGCTTTTGCAGGCTGAAAACTAGGCCCGTTTCGTGACTTCCGGTATTTCTGGAAAAACTTGTGGCACGAATGCCATAGGTTTGCCATCACGGGTATAGGATCTCCTGCTTGGACAGGGGGCTGGACTAGATGACCTCTTGCCCTTTGGGTCTCTTTTCCTAACTCCCTCACCCCGTGGGTTTGTACTTGGGTTCTGGACTGTCTTAACCCGCCTCACCCCTTTGCTTGTCATGGCAGCCTGAAGAAGAAAACCCACACATACTTCTACACCAGTTTTGTGGCCTACATTTTTGGGCTCAGCGTGACCATCTTCATCATGCACGTCTTCAAACATGCTCAGGTGAGTTTCCTGGACTGGCTCCCCCCCCCCCCCCCCCCCCCCCCAGACCAGGCTGTAGGACCTGAACAGGTTTGCAGGAACAAAATCAACCTTGGGAAATCTGGCCCTTTAAGATGTGTCCCTTTTAAGACAGGGGTGGGGAATTATGATCCCTTTATAACCCGTGGACTCAACTCCCAGAATTCCTGAGGCAGCATGGCAGCATGTTTGGCTCAGGAATTCTGGGAGTTGGAGTCCATAAGTCATAAAGGGGCCATAGTTGGCATGGCTGGCTGAGGAATTCTGGGAGTTGAAGTCCGCAAGTCATAAAGGGGCCACAGCTAGAATGGTTGGCTGGGGAATTCTGGGACTACCACTTGTGGACTTCAACTCCCAGAGTTCCTGAGGCAGCCATGCTGGCTATGGCTTCTTTATGACTTGTGGACTTCAACTCCCAGAATTCCTGAGGCAGCCATGCTGGCTATGGCCTCTTTATGACTTGTGGACTTCAACTCCCAGAATTCCTGAACCAGAATAGTTGTTCCAGGAATTCTGGGAGTTGAAGTCCCCAGGTCATAAAGGGGCCATAGTTCCTCACCCCCGGGTTAAAGGGGCAGGCCAACAGCATGGCTGGCTGAGGCATTCTGGGAGTTGAAGTCCCCAGGTCATAAAGGGGCCATAGTTGGTCCAGCCATCTTCAAATGGCCGCGGTTGAGGAGAACACCTGGGCACAGAATTTGGGGGTTCTCAAGGCACCCTGGGCTGTGACCCTGCTGCCGCCTCGCGATTACAACGGCCCCAGGTTGGGGAAGGCTTCCCATCGGGGACCCCCGAGCAGGTCACGAGTAACCTCTGCTGCTGTGAGTGAGGGGTCCTGCCCCTCTCCTCCTGACGGTCTCTCTTGGTCCTTCCTTCCTCAGCCAGCTCTCTTGTACCTGGTTCCCGCTTGCATTGGCTTCCCTCTTCTGGTGGCCCTGGCCAAAGGAGAAGTGACCGACCTCTTCAGGTGAGTCCTTGCGTGTGTGGGGGGGGCGTAGAGGTCGTCCTCGAGTTACGACCAGTGATGGTGTTCAGCTGGATCACCCTGGATCGGGTGAACCGGTAGTGAGACTTTGGCATGGATCACTGAACCGGTAGTAAGTTCTGGCTGGCCACGCCCCGCCAGCCCGGTGGCCCTCCCGCCCGATGCTCGCTCACCCCATCCACCTAACGTCCGCCCGAGGCCGTGATGGCGAACCTATGGCACGTGTGCCGCAGGTGGCACGTAGAGCCATTTGTGCTGCCACGCGAGCTGCCGGCAAGCTTGCGCTGCACCTCACAGGTGATTTTCAGCCGGTTTGAAGCCATTTTCGCTCTTCCGGAGATTTGAGGACGGCTTCTGCAGGCTTTGCAGGCCGAAAACTAGGGCCGTTTTGTCACTTCCTGTTTTCCCCCCCAAAATTCTGGAAGTGACGAAACAGGCCTATTATTCAGCCTGCAGAAGCCTTCCCCAAGCCTCTGGGAGGCCGAAAAAGGCCTCAAACTGGCCGAAAATCAGCTGTGAGTGCACAGTGCAGGTCAAGGGGGCGGTGGGAGTGGGTGGGGATTGTGTGCACATGCGTAGGGGGCGTGCATTGCCTTCTGGAGGTTGGCACGCAAGCGCGAGTGTGCAAGCATGCGCACAATTTTGGGCACAGGAGCCCCCAAAGGTTTAACCACCACTGGCCTAAGCCATTTCTTTTCTTTTTCCCCTCCTGACGGATCAGCTGTTCGTACAACCAGCTGTGGCGGGGTTTTCCCCTTGCTGAGGCCCAGGAAGGCAAAAAATGGAGGGAGGGGCTCAGCCCTCCCCCCATTTTTGCCTTCCTGAGCAGCAGAGGAGCCTTAGGGGGAGCAAAACCACCCCCCCCTTCCCCCCCGGAGGCCCTCCGGGGCCCCGAAGGCCCCCAAAACAGGGGGGGCGGTAAAAAAGCAAAAAAAAAAAAAAAAAAAAGCCACGCCCACCCAGAACCTGGCCACGCCCACAGAACCGTCACTAAAAAAAATGTGAATCCCACCCCTGGGTACGACCATCACAGACCCTGGCATTTCAGTCCCAAGTCAAGGCGGCCCCACGATAGGCCCGATTTTGCAACCTTTTTAGCGGCGGCATTCGGACCCTGCCCGTTAACGGTCATCTATTGCAATGGACGTAAAGTAGGAAGGCTCGCCCACGAGACCAGCCTGGTTTTAATAATTTTTTAGGCAGTCGTTAAGCGAACGCAATGTTTGGGGGTGCTGAGATGATAATTTCCCCCTCCCCAGGAGTTTACAGACGTGGTGGGCTGGCTTCCCTAGAGAGGAGCCTCGTTTGGGAGTTAGAGTCTCCCCCACAGGCTCAAACCCCAGGTGCAGGTAATTCCTCGCCTTGCCACCACCATTTTGAGCCCCAAATCACATGACCCCGGGAGACTGCAGCCGTCATAAATATGAACCAGTTGCCAGGTGTCTGAATTTTGACCGAGGAGGAGGAGGAGGAGGACTCTGGGGTCCCTGGTATTCTCTTAGCTTGGTGGGGTTTTTTGTAGTCATCTCATAACCCAACTAAGTAACATCATCAGGGCTAGAAGAGAGGGTTTGTACGGAGGAGGAGGAGGAGGAGACTATAGGGTCCTTAGTGTTCTCTGAGCTTGGTGGTTTTCTTGCAGACGTCTCATGACCCAACTAGGGAACATCATCAGTGCTAGAAAGGAGGGAGGTTTGTGGAAAGGAGGAGGAGGAAGACAGGAAAGGAAAGGGGGAGGAGGAGGAGGAGGAGGAGGGGGAAGGGAGAGAAGTGCTATGGGGTCCTTGGTGTTCTCTGAGCTTGGTGGTTTTCTTGCAGACGTTTCATGACCCAACTAGGGAACATCATCAGTGCCAGAAGGGAGTGGGATCTGGGGGATGGAGGAGGAGGAAGATTATGGAGTCCTTCATGCTCGCTGAGCTTGGCTGTTGGCTTGCAGGCATCTCATGACCCATTTCTAAGAGTTATGGCCTCTGTTGAGACGCGTCCGCCAGAAAAGCTGTTCAGGACATTTTTTTGAACGTTGTTCTTTGAATGCTTGGCTTGGCTTTTGCTGAGTGGTGTAGTAAGTGACTAGTCCCACAGGTGCAGCTTCAAGCTTTACCCTGAAATTTTCCACCTTCTGCTCCAGCTGTTCTTGTTCCTCCTGGGGAATTCTGGGAGTTGAAGTCCACCTATCTTAAAAGTCTCCAAAGTTGAACTAATAGAACTGGCCTGATTGAAGGACCTCCTTCAATCCGGAACACCTAGAAACCAGATGGAGATGTCCACCTAGTCTAGTGAAGAGAAGGACCAGGGGAGACAGGAGAGCATCTTCCAATATTTGAGGGGCTGCCCCAGAGAGGAGGAGAAAGTGGGGGTCAAGCTATTTTCTAAAAGGCCAGACAAGGAACAATAGATGGCAACTGAACTAGGAGAGATTCAACCTGGAAATAAGGAGAAATTTACAGACAGTGTGAACAATTAACCAAATGTAATGGATTCCCTCCAGAAGTTGTAGGAGCTTCATCCCTGGAGGCTTCCAAGAAGACACTGGACTGCCATCAGTCAGAAATGGTGTAGGGTCTCCTGCTTGGGCAGCGGGTTGGACTAGATGACCTACAAGGTCCCTTCCAACTCTTGGATTATCTATTACCTTGTTCTCATGCAACGTTCTAGATTTACTGTGCCATCAACTTCTGTTTATGCTGGGCTTTATCTTAACCCACCTTGGTGGCCTTCCATTCCAGGCCTAATAACCCTTCCAACCCCGCTTAGCTTTTCCGCCCAGGTGGGACAAGGCAGGAGATAGCTTGTCCCACCTTCCTCAAGCTTGCTCTGTGATTCTCTTCCCACGAGAGAAACTTTGGGGGTGGGGATCAGCAAGGAGGGAGGGGGTTAAGTTGGGGATCGTGGTGACCCTGGGTTAGCCTGACAAGCCGTATCAGGATATCTCAGTTTGTCTTCTTGGTGGAAGATTGAAGTTGGTCTTCTGACTCGGGCGCAGAAGTTGTGGCTGCTCCATCACTGGAGTTTTTTAAAGAAGAGATTGGATCGTCATTCGTTCAGAATGGCGTAGGGCAGCGATGGCGGACCTTTTCGTGGTGGTGTGCCAAACGCGCGTGCGTGCCAGCACCCACAATGCAATGTGCCCCCCCACCCCCGTGCATGTGTGCGCAACACCCCCGCCCCGTGCCCTTACCCGCACTGCACATGCGTGCACCTCCCGGCTGATTTTCAGCCTGTTTTGAGGCTGTTTTCGCCCTCCTGGAGGCTCGAGGGAAGCCTCTGTAGCCTCAGGAGGTCGAAAAACAGGCCCGTTTCGCCACTTCTGGTATTTCCGGAAGGCCCGTTTTTCGGCCTCCTGAGGCCGCAGAGGCTTCCCTTGAGCCTCGAGGAGGGTGAAAACGGCCTCAAACGGGCCAAAAATCAGCTGGGAGGCGCGTGCCCACACAAATAGCTGTGCCACCTGTGCTATAGGTTCACCATCACGGGTGTAGGGTCTCCTGCTCAAACGGGGTTGGACTAGATGACCTCCAAGAGACATTCATGTCCAACCTTGGCGCCTTTTAAGTCCTATGGACTCCCAACCCTCATTGCTGACTGGGGAATTCTGGGAATTTAAGTCCACGAGTCTTAAAAGTGACCAAGATTGGACACTTCTAGTAAAAGGTCAAACAGGGGGGTTGGACTAGAAGACCTCCAAGGGTCCCTTCCAACTCTTTCTCATTCTGTAAGGGTCTCCTGCTGGAGGCAGAGGCGGTTGGACTAGAAGACCTCCAAGGGTCCCTTCCAACTCTTTGTCATTCCGTAAGGGTCTCCTCCTGGAGGCAGGGGGGTTGGACTAGAAGACCTCCAAGGGGCCCTTCCAACTCTTCGTCATTCTGTAAGGGTCTCCTGCTGGAGGCAG